GTATGAAGGCTTTATATCTACTAGATCTTTTAAATTCCTAATTATAAACATGTCTTGCGTGTCGGTTTTTTAACGCTTAGGTAGTACAAAGTTTCCAGCATAAAGCATATTATATCTATGGTTTCCAGCTTGCATTTTTGTATCAATGCAATGTTCTTTATCTTTTAAGATTTAACTATATACTTAGAACAGTATCTATAATACTTGCATGTATCCTGCATGGGGTATGCATGATACATGCAAGTATTACTTGGTTTTTAAAAAATATCACATTAGTAGCACGGAGTCTGGAAATGTGCCCGGTATATGGCAATAGGCTCACCCTATTACATGGGACTCATAACACAGTGAAAAGTTTGTGTTACATTTTACAGTGGCATTAAGTGCCATAATGTGCACCTCTGCCTACTCCTTCGCGTTAGGATTATTATTTATTTTGTTCCATTTAGGATGCCTTAAACCTATTAAAACGTATGTGTAAATATGTATGGAGTAATACGTGGGTCGATATTGACACTGCAGTCATTATCATACCGTTATTGTGGAACTGAATGCTTTACGGTCCACTGGACTAGATAAATGAAATTATTTTCCTCATTATTTTTCAAGTTTTTTTTCATGGATTTTCAGGTTGTTAAGAGGGAAAAGGTTTGAGTATAAAATAAGATCTTAGCAGAAAATATAACGCTAATATTTTTTAGAAAAATCGTCTTTTAATCATAAAAATTCTTAATGTAATATCGACAAAAACTTGTCACTCGATTGAGCATTGAGTTTTTGCACCAAATAACGCGGACGTATTGTAATGTTATGTTCAGGTACTCTTTTTATCCAATAAATCCACCCATTTATTATTGTACTTTTGCACAATAATTCCAAGACTACCGTAAATTCTATGAAATCAAAATTTACATCGAAATATTCACGAATTAAATCATCAACGTAAGATAATTTGCGATCCGATAAAATTTTATTGTGCCATAAAGGCATGAAATAAAAAAAACAGTGATAATGAAAATTGATAAAAATCGCCAGCAATGTTTCCCTGTTGTATAAAAGTATTATTATAATAATCTTAATACTGAATGCTGACCGTTAGGTAAGGTTGTACTTAACTTTTTGTACCACAAAACCTTGAAAATTATTTAGAGGTTCTGTACAATTTTATTTGCGGTCATTGTGGAAGATCTTTCTAATCGACGGACGGACAGACTTCAGTAGTAGTTGTGCCGCGACGCCGCGCGACTGTCGATTTTGTCCGCGCTTAAAAACCGCGATAAAGCAAAATATTTCTGTGATAAAATACCTAATGTGTGCGTGATTACAACGAGTATTTAAAATATTTTGTGCCATTTTTAATTTCATAACCGACGACCATAAATTGTGTGTGAAAAAAGCACGAGAAAAAAGAAAAACAACTGGACTGTGACTTCGCATGTGTGCAAATTGAAAACACAATAATATCTCTTCACTTTCATGGAGTTATAGTGTCTGCATGAGGCTAAAAATAAATATGTATTTTTAAAAGGAAAGATAATGAACGCCTGGTTTTTAATCAAGGCGATAAGCGTAGGCTTTAAAAATTGCCGTATCAGTCGAACAAATTTTAGCGAATAGAATGGATAAAGTTAATATTTCTCGTAGGCAATGACCTAGTCTGTCTGTATAGCTATTTAGTATGTGTTCATATCTTAAACTATTCGAGACCCGCTGCAGTTACATTGCTAACGATTGTTTTTCACCTTGCAATGACTTCTTAAATGGCACGAACACGCCACAATTTTCATTAACTCTTCGTCTATTAATTCATTCAACATTTTCTTTACTAAATATTCAAAGAACACTTCACGAACATTTTCTATCAACACCGTACACTGAATTGGAACTCAAGAACTAGCTTGCTTACTAAAATCGGAGACGATGTTAGTATTCGGTTCTTCAGTAACCAACGAGGCCGAAACCAAATCTTTAAAAAAGAAATTGCAGCATATAAGTACATAAAAAAAGACCGTGTTACAGTCAGAAGTCTAGACCGACTTACACTACACAAATGCTACAAAGGCTTCACTTACCTCACTGTTCAAAGGTAAATACTAAATGTAAACGGTAGGATGAATGCAATCTCGTATTTGCATAACAATTTCGCGAGTTGCCTTGAAGTGGTCATGTTTACACTATTTGCCGCCTAGATGACCACTCGGTTCATGAAAACATACTCTAGGTTGACAGAGATTGATCAGACACCACACCAAGTTACTCACAGACTAGAACTTATAATAAACTACCAAAACCAACATTAAAATGTATCAGGGGCACATTAATTACTGTTAATTACGACAGTGAACTAGTGAAGGTATTTGTTTTTGTTCATTCTTGATTATAAATTCATTTCGTGCTCCTGTTCATGGCATATTATGTATGTATATCATAAACATCGTCTCCACTTTCTTGCGTGATTGAGTGAAATTCAGATAATTGTTAATCATGAACATGAACACAGAAAATTGTGTTTTTCTCGCATTTAAAAGAGGAAAATATTAATATTTACCGAATGTTGACAACTACTTCAATTCAAAGCTTTTTCAAGATTAGAAAACCGGTTTGTTATATCGTCTACAGCCACAAAATTCGTGAATAAATTAGCAAGAATAATGAACGAAACTTCATTAATATAACACCTATCAATGAAAGTAAGCAACCACATTATAAGACATTGAAGTCACTATCTGTTTAACAGAGGAAACACTTCAATTTAATTATCGATCAATTAGCATGTGTTGTAGTTTTCAATTAAAACAATGCTGAACACAGATACCTATAGTTCTGATATTGTCGAACAATTGACGCAACGTGGACCATTTAACATTCGGCACACACGTCACACACCATAAAGGTGTGCATTTCCGTTGGCTTATACCACTTTAGGGCATGGACATATCGGTCGGCTTAGATAATAGTTCATGAATAGTCATTACTGGGAGTACATGGAGTATAGAAACCACAGGCTTTAATGATCACTTCCAACTGCACAATGCAGTATTTCTTCCTTGTTCGTCGTTTGTGTGCGTGTTGTCACGCAGTAACACCGTAAGTCTGTCGACAAATATCGTTTTTCTGTAACGTCCGAGTAAGTATTCCCCGAAGGTAAATGGATCGCGTGTGCAGGCGCCACTATGTTCAATACATTCTTGGAATACGGACGACTGATCACGCGTACTTCTAAAGCAGGTTAAAACCTTCATTCGTCATTTCAAAGTGATCCTGTTTACTGCAGTTTCATAACTGTAAAGGATTTATAATCTAGAATTGTCATCAACACTCCAAAACCTGTTTGGTTCATGTTTTCCTTTCATTTTTATTTCAGCGCTAGGTATCTGAGACTTTATGATTTTGGAGCTGTTGGCTAGGTCATTTCAATCGTAAATGTTTATTTGCAACAATGCTAAATGACAACACGTACAGTTAAATACAATTTTATTCGTTGTAGGATAAAAATAGCTCAGTTACTGGCGTTAAAATTCTTGCCATAGTAGGCGTGTGCTCCAGATAAAATTAAACTTTAAAGGCATAATGTTGTAGAGCGTCACTTATGGGCGCAGCATCTGGTGCACGGCGCGTGAGTATTCTGTGTTTGGCCAGTGGACCGCGAAGGTCAAGGCTTTACCCGCGCCACTGACCTGCCTTAGCACTCCTAAACATCAGACGCAAACTATAACTTCAAGGGTCCAGTTGTTTTCTTTTAATCAAACAGTCACGAAATTAGATTCTAATTCTTTTTGTAGTATCAAGAAATGATCTCGTTTCACGGTTTCGATGACCGAAGTTAGTGAAATCGATTTGTTATTGTGATGGTGAAAATAAAGATGATGAGGTGACGAGTGGTGTGGCGCGGTGTCGGATGGCAGTGCAATGGATGGTGGGACGGCTTCAGGTCCCGTGCCTCCGCCGAGATTGAAGAAATTGGCGCGGCTGGCCGGTACCAAACCAGATCGAAAGTCTGTCACATGGGTACGATTTTAAACGTGTGCTTTTCATCTTTTATGAAAGTGTTTGATAAAAAACTACTTATAAAACCTGCCGATAGCTTTTATGAAACTGATTTTAATAGGCTCATTTTTTAATTTACGTATACCAGGTTCCGTACAAACTGTGAAGGCGTCTTGGAATAAAAGCCTTTTCTTCAGAGATAATAATCATATCCTCGCAGGTCGTATGATCGTATTGTAGGAACGCCTTTTGAATTTGCGTTTCAAAATTGATGTTCGCATAAAATCTTTTGATATCATTGAAAACGAACTTCGGTGACAAACAAAGACGGACGGACGAACAGACAAGGAATAATACGAGTGCAAAGCAAGTTGAATGGCGCGCTCGCGGCTTCTGCGCGCCGTGGGAACGTCAACCGTTCCTACCTATTATCTCCTCATAAGAAAAACAAACAAATTCGTGAAACTAACACAATGCATTTTCGCACATTATTACAGTTACTTCATTTAATTTTTTTAGCCTGTTCTACTGTTTTCGTTTTATCCGTTAGGTGTCATCTGTCATACAACGTTAAGGCTTCTTTTGTAATGTTTTAAATTAAAAACTGCATTTGTAATGTCATTTCGGTCTGAAAGTGTGACGTCGATTAAACCCTTGGGTTTAACAATTTTCCACAGCTACTTAAAATTCTTAACTGTTAAAAGGGATTCGATATGGTTTTGACATAGGTATTGTCTAAAAACTTAAGGAAGGACGCAATGGGTACCTATACTATATTACGTAGGTGCCGCATGTGTATACATTTTTTGTTTCTTAACTTACTTGAAATTTTAACAAAAACAAATATCAAAATCTTTGCTATTTTAAATCGCCATTTTTACAAATTTAATTTAAGTATACCCTAATACTATGGTTTTGCTAATAAACATTACGCATTTTGTGTATTTGTTAGACCTACACCAGTATTATCAAAAAAAAAATACAAAATCTCTAAACGTTTTAATTTTTTCCAGGGTCCAGAGACATGGGTGGGAGTAAGAGCGTTGCGTGCCAGTTCAGGAGGTATTCTGGACCCAGACGACCGCGTGCGGGATGTGGCGGATGACAGGGAAACCCTCACGGCTGAATGCACCAGTCAAGCGCCACAGCCTCGCGCTGCGCAAGCAGATGGCGCCAGTGGGTCTTCAGCCGGCACCGCCTCCCCTGACATGTTTCGGGTAAGTCATTCTAAATATAACTTGAATTGAAAAATGGCGAATAAAATATTAGGTCACTCTAGGCGCCATAAAAAGAAAATATTTTTACAATCTCAAACAGCAGCAGCAATTCCAAATTCAATTTTAATTAGGTAGTTAACGGCAACGCGTGATTCAGCCTAAATACATTACGTACTTTTTTATGTTTCGATATGGATCTTTATGTTTTTTATAATCTATTGATGAGAATTAAATAATAAACTAATGCTACCTATCGATGTTGGCGCATTAGTATGGCCATCGACCATAGAGGCGGCGACGCGCGGGACGGGGTATAAAAACCCACGGCCGCGCGAGCGCCGCGCTTCTTCTTCATCGACACACGCCAGCCATAGCATTCGGGCATTTTCTTTGTATCGGTGTGAGCCGGTCTTGATTCTGATATATGTAGAAATTAAACCTATTAATTGTGCAGTCTTCTGTTTTAATTTAAAATAACCCGACAGAGCTACGACAATCGATTTATTTATTTTATCAGAGAGATTTGGAAACGTTAATACTTATCTTATATATGTGCGAATTTTTGCCTTCTATAAAAATGAGCAACAACATTATGACACCCAATAAGAATAAAATTAGTTAGCAATTTAAACTGTCAAACACCAAGCGGTCACCGGTGACCGCGACCTATTGTTCTTTAATTGTGTCTATAAAACCGGTACTCGACGAGTTAATAACAAAATAAAGACAGCGCAGTTTTTAATTTTTTACGTAGGATCGGTCGTACGAAAAAACACAATAACTTTTAACACGCTAAATTGATAAAAAATATTAGGCTGAATGTTCAAGTATCACAGACACTGGAGAAGAAATTTAAAAAAAAAATGAGAGCGCGGGATTTGTTCAAACTCCAATCAGTCAAGTTTTGTTCGGGGGTCCTGTCGAAACCTGTGCATTTAGGAAAATTATTTCTTGTGTGTGTCGAAATAAAATCATTTCGTGACATGTCAAGAACAAGAAAGGACTCTAGACTCTCGTTTAATTGTAATATCAAAATGGGTTTGTGTTTTTCTCAGTGTTTTTGTGAACAAACTCCTAATAAGGTCAGTTTAAAATACAAGTTATTAAAATTAGGATGAATGCTAGTAGCAAGAAAAAATAATTTCGTGTTATGGTTATGAATGAGTCCAATCGAAAATGAAAGAGTTGTATATCGAAGAGTCCTACGACGATAGTTGATGGATAAAATGGTACTGAGCCGGGTCCAATACCGAGCCCTAATATTGGGATTCATTAGTATTTTGACAGTGTGGTTTTATGAGTTAGGTACTATAAATATGTAGGTAACGTACTCAAATCATTCTCGATTTGTGTATTCTTAACAAATCCTTAAGATACAGGAATTTAGTTGTGCAATTTACTATTAAAGTCGTAGTCGTAAAGAAGTAATCAGTTCAGCTACAACCAGCCTAACTGCCTCCCCCATATGCCCGACACACTGCCTCAAACCATTTATCTCATGATCATCGCTCAGTATCGTCTGCACAAACCTCTGATTACCCCTGTACCCCTGTGATAACCAGCTTAATGATATAAAAACTTAATGGTGTTCGCTGCGACCGAAATTACGTGACATAGTGAGCTGATACTTACGCGATTTACAAACCAAACCTGGCGAATTGAAAACATTTGCAAAGAATAAAGTTAAACTAATTCACATACGTAGTTAATACATAGGTACCTACGTAGGTATAATAATGAACGATAACAACCACCGTACGAACGTATGATTCACTCATACTTATAACGGGCGGCACGAATGCTTGCATTCACGCTTCTCACAACATGTTCAGGCGCACATCAAAGTATACCAAACTATTTAACATTAATAATAGATTTTGAACTTTAACTTTTTGTTTTAAGGTCGGAACTATCTTGTATTAATTTAGGGTAGCTTGATGTGCTGTTGCCTTTAGTTTCGTACCTAAGTCACAACACCATTTACGTAGTACATAGGTATCTATTTAGTAGATAACAAGCTGAAACTGGGCTAACAGGATTAAAGAGCTCGCAACCAGAGCGTTTATATCTAGTTATAAGTTTAAATATAGACTTTAATAATATGATTGTAAGGTGGTTTTTGCCCTTCACTGCTTTATGTCCTAGATTTCTGTTTCATTTGACTCTTATGTTCTAATTAAATAGTTGTTGAGGCTGGTGTGATGTTCAACGCTTGACAATTCTGAATCTAACACCTAGGTATCATGTTAAATGGCAGGTAGATACATAGGATTCTACTCGAGGTTATTGATAGGTAACTTGTACATACATTATAAACATGCTTTAATCTCCGAACATCAATTTCTTTCATCTTATTAGATTTTTCATCATTTTTGTATCAAGCAAAATAAATGCCTGCGAATGTTTAAGTAATCTTTTACATAATATTTGTCCCTGGAGGTTTCCAAGGATGGCAGAACAAACAAAGATTTTCACAAAAGCAAATAAGTAGTACTATTACCAATTAAGGATTTTATCGAATGAAAATCAGCATTGTCGTATCGTGCATTAAGTTTGCATGATCGTATCTCCTGCAATCTGCATTTGAGAGTTATTCACTTCAATACACAGGGTACAGCAATTTGTATTGAATCTCATAATTGATTATCGAGATCCGTCACGGTCCAGTAGTTTAGTAGAATGCTGCACAATGTATAACTAACTTATTCGTAATGCCTGTAATTATTAGAGGAGCGTCAATCGAAATTGTAATTAAGCATGTCTGTGGGGCTTAAGATCCATGTCTTCGAAAAATTTTGATTTTGATTAGATACCTAATCGATACGAATATAAATGTAATGTTTTTGTCTTTACAGACAAAGTGTAAGATCGAGATAAAATGTTTTTATTCCATTACAATAAAATATTTTCAATCTACCTACTTTTAATTCTGAGATTTGTCATTCTCGGTTATTCAGACAGACAATAGCATGTGTCGGTCATGATCAGACGTAAAGAAAAGTTTGTAGATTTCTCACTAGATAAAATAATATCTGTTTTATCTTGTATACTGTAGACAATATATCATTTCCAATCAATTTAACTGGCAGTAAGTGGAAAAGTATGACATTATGCATCGACAAATGAACTTTGATGCGTTTTTGATTGATATTTGATTGAAATTTAATTATTTAATATGGTTGTATTTGCCTTCAGGGAGGTGGCGGCGTCGGCGGCAGTATGCGCGTCCCTGACACTGACTCATGTGTCGAAGTCGGGGCGGCAGACTTGGAAGATGGGGCGAATGGTCTGCAAGTCCGGCGCGGGAGTGAACCCACGCTACACCAAGATACCCTACCGCCTCAGAGACCGGTATTTATTTCTTTAAATGACTTAGATTTTTATTAGTAATTTTCTCATAAAATTGCCTTAGTCATTATTGTAGTCGCGGAGAACCTAACGGGTAACCGGGGCTCCGGCTCGACGTGTAGGAGAAGGAACGGGGTGGTTTTTACTCTGTAAGAGTCTGACACGCCCTCCCGCCTCACCCAGGCGGGAGCAGTCATTCGATGATTTTCCCCCCTTAAAAAAGTCATTCTAGTAATTCATTTTGCCTGATTTATTGACTGATAATACTGATATTGAATTTGATTAGTATATACAATTTGGCTAAGACATACCCAATATTTACATGGCTAATGGGTAGAACAAAGAGATGTGTAACTTAAATAAATACCACCTTAGTCACACCTTTGTTCAGTAAATGAAGTTATTTTGGTTTTTGGTCTGATTTTGATTAATCAATGTCATCAATCAATGTTAAAGAAGTTTGACTTCAGTATACAGATTTTACGCGATTAAAGGTCTGTTTTTCATGCACAGTTAAAATTTATCAGAGGAATGACTTTGAATGTTAGACAATTTATATAGAATTAATGTTAATCAAATCTTTTGATAAAGTGAAAATTATTACAGCAATTTTTCAGAAGATTACTTTCCATTGCCTATCAGTACCATCATAAACATATAATGTGTTGATCAGCTAAAATGAACTATTGAATTAGAAACACAAATAGGTAAGTACCTACTTAATTGTTATTCAACAACGTTTCATAATCTCTTCGATTGATCGGCTGAGATAGATTAATTAATTTAGTCTCTCACGGAAATGAAACAATGCTCATTCAGAAAGGACGTCATTGTAATGTTTGTCCTGAATAGGATTAATTTATACATAATTATATTTGTCGTCGTTGACTTGTTTGTTACCACCTTGTTAGGAATTACCGTCAAATACTAGGTACCAACACATTGTTATACCTCTACTTACTGACAATTACAAATTATTTATCTAATTTTGTTTGAAAGGATGGAAGTTGGCTAACTCATCTATCATTATCTAATTCATATTTAAAGTAAGTTCATGCGAATGTTCCAATGCCCTTACCGAGAAAACACAGTTTAAGTATACAGTACTCTCGGGTTTGTATCAAAACAAGAAAATCAAGTTTTGTGACACCTATTTTCATCTGCAGTTTAATCACTTTTGACAATAGTTAGGTAACTATTCTTATTTAACCCATTGTAATGAAAATGTATTCTATACAATAATGGCTTTTATTATTGCAGGTATCAGAACAAACAAAGCGGTGGTCGGCCGCGGTGGTGTGCCGGGACGACAGTAGCAGAATGACGCAGAAGGTGCATCCGTTGCCGGACGGCCGGCCGCCTGACGTCGGCGTCGACCGACACGGACAACATTTCCAAAGGCAATCTAATCGCCTATCAATGCAGTTTTCTGGGCCTGGGTAAGTTGACTAATGATAAAACGGGGTGAATAGATACAGAAGAGAAAATGTTCTAATATTTATTCACCACATTTCTGTATCTATTCACCCCTCGCCGTTTTACGGTATTGAATTATCGTTAGGTATATCTAGTTATAAGATCTCATTGAAGTTTTTGTACAGTTTCATGATGTATCCGACATGTCTAAGTACTGTCAATACTCAGTAGGTAGGTAGGTTCAGGTTCGAGCCGACTGTGCGTTTCTCTGGTAGGAATAAACATGCATAAAGGATTTATCACCACACATTTTCATTGGTAGAACGCTGTTTCAAGATTCATGGAAACATGAGGCATTCTTGCATCATATTTTTGTGCACAATAATATCTCTTGCGCAATTAGCTGTTAATCAGTAAGTTTCAGTCGGTTAACTTACTTATGACTCAAACTCAAATTCAAAAGCATTTATTTAAATTAAATAATAATTTGGTACTTTTGAAAGGTCAATAGAAAACTAATTAAAGTATCTGCTGTACCTAATTGGTATTTTCCTATGTTGATTGTTTATAAATTTGAGGATCTTTCCGCAACCCACGTGGTTCGTAGTAATGCAACAAAATGATGTATTGAAGACCGTATCTACATACAACATTCTACCGACAGTTTGGTAGTGTTGACTCTTAATAGAAACTTCAATGAAAATCGCAGTGTCCATAATCGTTCTAAATTGTTCTCCATTCAGACTTAACAAAAGCGGCTATTAATATAAGTATTTCCGTAATTCTGTTAAATAAAGCCAAAGCAACAACGTCTTTTAGTGAATTTTTCGCATAAATTAAACAAATTAATTTCATGGCTATCATTTTATGGAAAGACGTGTGTCTAATTACTTGTGCCTTAATTATTCAGTTTATCGTTTTTTACATCCTTTCTTCCTTTTTAAAGTATTATATTGGTTTAACTATATCATACGAAACTATCTAGCAAATAAATAATTATTCATAGTATAGTAAACGGTAAAATAACAATAGGCAGGATACTATTTTCTACACTAGCGCCCCTAGCGGAAAATAACACTGTTACTAATGTCCACGTCTATTTCAAGCTCGTTACGAACTCAAACTTATGAGTATTATTAGATAAAATCACTTTTGCAATAATCCTTAATTGTCAAAATGATTCGTTTAAAATCCAAACCCTCACAATAATTTTGTTTTTCCAGTAGCGGTGTATGGTTAGACGCAGCAGAGCGGGTCCAGAGCTATGGCAGCAAAAGTCTTCCCAGAGACGCCCGAAGAGAGCCATTAGGACAAGATATGCCAGTCAACAACCACCAGAATCACAGGTTAGTACTGGATCATAGCTTAAAATCAGTCTCACAACACGATTCAAAACAATTTATGTTAATCCTCGTTTATAAACCCACGTGTTACCTCCTACAAGTGCATTATAGATGTAGAAAACAAAACTTAACGCGAAAATTTAAATAACTATAGAAAATGTAGTTTCACTTTCTATTAAAGCTATTCACAACAAATATGGAAATTAGTTGGCACCTTTTGCTATCGGCCGTATGAATAATCCTACTATCATCGTATCGTATACAGAAGTGTATATGTATAAATAAAAAAATAAAATAAAAATGCGTAACTTTTTTGTAACTCCTTCACGTCAAAAAGGCTGAAGCGATCGGGGTGAAATTTGGAACAAGGGTAGGTTATGGTTTGGAATAACGCATTTTTATACTAGTATAATGTAAGTAAAAAAAAAAAAAATTCAGTAGTAGCACGGAGTCCGGAACTGTGCCCGGTATATGGCAATAGGCTCACCCCCTATTACATGGGACTCATAACATAAATAGTGAAAAGTGGGTGTTACATTGTACAGTGGTATAATGTGCACCTCTGCCTACCCCTTCGAGGATAAAAGGCGTGATGTTATGTATGTATAATGTAAGTTAGGTACAACTTACTTGATACCCCTTGATTCTATGAGTACCAAATCCTCTTTAACCTAATTTCAAGGGTGACTAACCTAGGTTATTGTTGCAAATTCAGAGAAAACATTAACGAGATACACATTCGTAAATTCGTAATCGATTACTTCAACCGTTATCGTAATGTGACACGAATGAGTTATCGATTCTACTATCAGATTATTACGGTGAATGAGAGGTATTTTGATTCAGCAGTGTGTGTTTGTTTAGGTACTACTATTATGACTGAACAAAACAATCAATCTATTCTGTATTGAAATAGTAAATATCAGTTTTGTAACAGTTACGGGTAGATTTTGTAACAGTTATAGTGTTTCACTTTTTAGTTTTTGCGTTACTAGATGGCGCTGGTGTGAATTTCGGTACGATATGCTTTAAAAATGTTTGCGGAACAAATAATCTTTTTATGACTAAAACTGAAACCCACTGTCTTTTGAAATAAAAAACAAAATGTCATTGAGTAATTTATTTAAAATACTTGCATTAAATGTAATAAAATTGTCGTTAATTTCAGGGTAGAAGACATGCTCCGGTGGGTGTCAGGAGTGAACAATGTAGCGAGTGTACATCCTGTGCAAGAACGGCCTCTTGATCTCTTACCCGAAGGTACGCACTTATGTATAACAAATTAATAAGTAACCATTGATTTGATAATTTACCTACTTTTGGATTTTTTCTCGCTAATTTTAAGGATATAAGTATGCTATTTGACGCAAAAATATGATGACGTCATAAAATAAAAATAGTACCTTACCTTTACCTAATGTATTGTCTCATACCAATTTGACCTAATCTTTACCCTTTTATATTTTTATAGGGGGCAGCAGTGAACGCGCGATATCCGGAATGGAGGTCCCAGTGAGTCCCAGCAGTAAGCCAGTATCAGGCGCCACCCAAACAGTGGCCGTTACTTTAGTGAAGGGAGAGAAAGGCCTCGGGTTCACCATCACCACCAGGGACAACCCCACAGGGGGACATTGTCCTATTTATATCAAGAATATTTTACCTAAGGTGTGTACCTATAACTATATGTTTTTTCCAAAAAACGTTTTAAGCTGTATGGTCATAATCTTTAGTTTTAGCTCACAAGCTTTAGCTTATGACCATACAGCTAAAAACGTTTATACCAGTATATACGTTTATACCACTAGATACTATATACCGACTTTGGTCGGTATATACTGGTGACTTTTCGCCAGCTTTGTTATGACTGCAATCGCTTCAACTTTCAAAAATGCCTTCCTGGTCTTAGCAATAATACTTTCTAACCACTTTCTCAGTAACAAGAAAGACAAACCACAGAATCCATATTACAAAAAGGCCCGAAACAAAACGTCCCAATTCCCGAAAATCTATCCAACCAAATATGGGAGATTGATTCTTCTCTAAATCGCAAAACTCTTAGTTTAAACTAAATCTCTATCTATAAATAAGCTTTTTAACTATAATAAGTAAATACTATTATATTCTTCTTGCAGGGTGCAGCAGTATCTGACGGTAGACTACGCGCGGGCGACAAGTTGGTGTCAGTGAACAACGTGTCAGTGTCCGGCCTCACGCAGCAACAAGTCGTCACCCTACTCAGGAACACTCCCACCGACTCCACTGTCGAGATAGTCATCGAAAGAACTGTACCTAATCGGACACAGGTAAATAGGGAGTTTCTTAATTCTAAATATATGAAATTCCTTGGATAGTTGTATTTTTTATCTCATAAGGGTTTTCCCTGGGCTGCGGATAACCAGTTGTTTTTAGTGTGACACTTCAAAAAATTGAGTTGTTCCGTGCGGGAATCGAATCAATTCTTTTAAAAGGCGAGGAGCGTTTTGTAGGTTCAAGCTGATGTTGAGGTTGTTCTTCATGAGATTCAGATTCCGCTCGTTTACCTATAAAAAATCACATCAACAAAGGTGCAGATATCCTTTCAAAATCCTTAAAGTGTTCAAACCAAACAAGAGACCTGTAAGGAACTTATAACAGAAGGATAAACAGTCGATTTTAGAAATTTCCAAAAACTGCTCAACATCAAAATATTTATTTAATCCATATTTTAATCTATTCCAGAGGGTCGAACCTCAACAAAGTCCGACGAAATACGTGGAAAAGGCGATAGGAACGCCAATGAATGCAGTAGAAGTCCCAAAGCCTTCAGAAAATGGTCGAGTATCAAGTATAGTGAACGCCATCAACCAGAACAACGTGAACAGTTCCATGCGAGGCAGGATACCTAAGAGCTCGTCGAAAGACGATCTGCTGCATAAGGATAATAGCAACGACAGCGCGCTGCAAGACGCTTTGAACTCTTCGTCTAATTCCGTAAGTTTGATTTTATGTTTCTTTTACAATCGTCTTGTATCATTTCGCTAAGGGTGTCGTTAATAATGTTAAGTTTGTAGTTTCTGATAATACTTCATTGCTAGTATAGACCAAACGGGTTACCGGGGCTCCGGCTCGAAGTGCTGGAGAAGGAACGGGGTGGTTTTGGTTTGTAGTCATTAAGAGTCTGACACTCCTTCCTGCCTCACCAAAGCGAGAGAAGTCATTCGATGGTTTTCCCCCTTAAAAAAATAGTATAAACCTTCTGAGTGTTTACAATTTTAGATATTTTTGGATACTATAATATTTAATAGTATGTTTTTTTCGTAATCTGCTTCTTACTAACTTATTAACTTGTTTATACCTGGAGATAAGTGGTAGGTGCATTTAGACCTGCTAACATCTAGGGGGAAACATTCATGTAGCATGCATTAAAAAGAACTCATACCTTACAAAGATACACTCTTAATACCAATACATTTTACTAACTCCTTTTTTAACACAAACATTTGTCATTAGTCCTTCCTTTCCCAGATTCTTGGTCTCCGCAACCGGTTAATACTTCGGCTGGACGTGCCGGTGCACGACTCGGAGAAGGCAGGGCTGGGCATCAGTGTCAAGGGAAAGGTCACTGTTGGACCTGATCCCCAGGACCTGGGCATCTTCATCAAGTCTGTGTTACATGGAGGTGCGGCGTCTAGGGATGGGAGGTGAGCGAAAAATAACATCATGATGCATAAAACTACTATTTAATTATAGAAAAATATGTCATTTTTAGTTAAGTGCAGATTGCCAAAAATTTGAATTTTAATCCAATATTTATCCGAAATTCTCCGTGTTAGTAGGTTGGTTGGTTTATAACAATGGGGTTCCAAATAGGGGGACTATTTGGGAAATACTTAACTGGCAAAAAATATCATCACCATCATCATAATAATAGCCACAACACATCTACGGTTACATAAGCCTTTTTCAATGAATTGGAGGCGACATTTGCCTTTTGCGTACGAGTTTCTTTTACTTTTAAAGTAATTGTAACGAGTACGCGTTCAGCGCTCTGATTGTTCGGCGCTAATGAACCAATCACTACTAAGGCCTCTGTAAGGATGTAGTATCATAGTATGATATTCTGATGTCATCTAAAGTTCCTTTATTATAGGTGTAGTTATCCATCCTCTAAACATTTATGCCATAACAACTAATTTTCGCTTACAGATTATACACAAACGACCAGTTATTATCAGTGAACGGCGTGTCACTAGTAGGGCAGAGTAACGCGGAGGCAATGGAGACGTTACGACGCGCGCTGCTACATGCTCGGCCACAGCGCTCCGGGAGCATCTCTCTCACTATAGCTAGGAGGACTGGTATGTAGATCTGTGAAATAATATTTAATATGTGATTTAACCTACACACATAAAGCTGAATCTGTAATTCGCCTTCCAAATGGGGCTAACGTTTTTTTGCTCACCAAATAGCGCAAACGTAGGAAGGGGTTTTATGTCCAATCATAGCAGCTGTCTAATATTGAACGTCCAATGGTTTGACACTACATAATTCGCTATTGGACGAAGAACGAATGGTTTAAACTAGCTCCATCTGGTGAATAAAGAAACGGGGCCTACCCATTGAGGATGGGGGGTCATGGCAAACCTGTCTTATGTAGAAGATGGTAGTCCAAGTTGACTTTCATCATCAAACCCCATCGGATAGCGGTTATTACTTTCAACAAAAATCTTCTAAATAGCAGATTTAATTTGATCTCCACACAGTATTGTTTGATTTTGACCTTTAGTGACCTATAAAAATATTTTTATCTATTATCATTGTTATGGTAAGGACCTACTACTGTATGACCTTGTCTATGTTGGTACAATGTTTAGATTTAGTTACTGACTCAAAACTCATTCCTTTTTCTCCTTTCGTTCAGCAGTTTTATACGGAACTGCGATATATGAACCGCTTTTAACGTATCTTATTCTTCTACCAACAGACAGTACGGACAGCCTAGCAAGGTGGAAGGACGACACGCCTCCAAACGGCAACGACACAACAAATTCTAACGAGAACTCTCAGAACTACAACACTGTCATATACAACGCGAGCAGTGACAAAGAGAACAAACCAGTAGACAATTTCAACCAAAAATATGATACCAATCAAAACGAGGGCTTTGACAGCCACGACGGTAGGAGTAGCAAGAAACATGCATCCATTATAACTATAAATAACAACAATAGTTGGGTTTCAAACCAATCAGATGACAGTAAAGGTTATTTAGAAAGAGACAAAGATATGCCTCCACATGATAATAAAAGAGATAGCTTCGAATGGAGCAGGCTTGATGGCTGGAACCCTGTAATAGACCGACTGACTGGATTAAGAAATGAGAGTTATTACATGGCAACACAAATCGATGCTCCTGTAACGAAAGGCCACCACTATAGACATAATTTGGGACACGTACACATGCCACGGTCGCCGCCTGCGCATCATAATGTTATTATTGAAGAGGATTATGGTACAACGAGGTGAGTTCTTTAGAATTAAGATATCAGTACTATCCCATTTTCGTGGCCCAATCACTCCTGCTAAACCTGAATCCCCAATTTTCCAATCCTGAATGACTGGCAATATAATATTTGTTACTTTTCTAGTAGTGCGTGTGTCCATATGTGGCGCAGTTTGCCACTTCATGCCATAAAGAGAATAACCTGCCTTACATAGTTCCATATTACGGTATTGCCTCGGTCCCTATTATTTAGAAATCTCAAAAAGTATAGAAAATTGGATATAACCATTTCATACACTCTGTCCCATCTAGTAGATTATAGGTGTCTAGATCTAGATTCTATACCATTTTTGTTCTTTTTAGGAAATAAAGGCCATACCGATATGTTGTGTTAACTATAATGAATTACAAATGATATCCCCACGAATAGAAGAATTTTTCAGATGAGTTTCTATTTTAATTATTATTATTGTACAGGGGTAGTGGCAGCGGTTGTGGCGGCGAGTCAGGCAGTGAGAGTGGCGCGGGGTTCAGTCGTGACGCGGTGGGCCGACGGTCCATGTCGGAGAAGCGACACGCCGCGCTAGACGCCAAGAGTACTGGCACTTATAAGAAAATCAAGGAGACCAAAGCTATCAATGGTAAGTGAAATTAAAGTTCAAGTATTCTTCTTTGATCTTACTATGGCTTTTGATATTGTGGGATAGTATATTGTATGGTATATAATTTAGTTTATTACATGGGACTCATAACATAAATAGTGAAAAGTGGATGTTACATTGTACAGTGGCATTAAGTGCCGTAATATGCATGTCTGCCTACCACTTCGGGGGTAAAAGGTGTGATGTTATGTTATGTTATAATTTAGTTTGGGTAGGATGTGTCAATACACAAATGTGCTTCAAATCGTATCTACTAAGAGTTTTTTTCTTATAAAATATTAATTTTTTTTTCGAGGAGAAGTATTGTTAAATGTATCAAAATAAAAATCTTATAAGGGCCGATGTTGCACAATTTTATCAGATGAATAACTTTGAATATTTGACAATTCTTCCATTAAATAAACTGTTAAATGTCAATTTAATTGTATAGTTAAGAATTATTTGTTGATTGAAAAATCGGCCCTAAGTATTAATAATAGAAGGCTTCCTCAAGGAAGTATACTGGGTCCAACGTGTTTTTTAACTTATAAAAAAGCCTCATTCAACTTCAAATTTTTCTTTCACAGCATTACAAGTAGGTCCATCATTAGGAATGAGAAAATCATCAAGTTTGGAATCTTTACAAACGGCGATACAGGAGACGCAAAGAAATCCGCGTAATGAACCTATTTATGCACGAGCGCACCCACGTGAGTACCAAATAGTTTATTAAATACATATAATATAAAGATGTATATCGGATGTAGGCTACAATAAAATATTTCTTTATCTAGTTTTTCTATAAAACTCCCACGGTAATTAAAACTAAACTTTATCTATTGTTCCTTAAAGTTTATGAGATGAATAATGTTACTCATGTCTGCAACACGTGCAAATTACTTTGTTGTTACGTCTAGTCAAAACCGGAAAAACTACTTAGAAATGTACCATGTCTTTTTCAAATGCTACGTTAAAGTAAAATAATGAATAACCGTGTCATCTCACAGCTTTAAAAACGTGGTTAACGGACGACCATCACGGACCGGACATGATCAGAGGCTCACCGCAGCAATCGTCACTATCACACAAGAAGCCATCTATACTCAAGTCGTTATCAACTATGTTTAGGTAAGTTTCTGTTTCATCATTTCCCTTTTTGGGTATTATGAAGTATTCAAAATTCAATAAATAGGGATTATTGAATTGTTAAAGTCATATTTTTACGTAATATTATGCTTTATTAGCCTGGTGTTTCATAATATGTAAGTATACTGTCAGATAAATATATCGGATATGTTTCATAATATAGTATATCCATTGGTACATATATTATATCCTGCAAACTCTGAACATAACTGCTGAAAATTAGTTAACTTGTAAGCATCTCTGTTTCGATACGGAGCCGCGGAGAACCTAACGGGTTACCGAGGCTTCAGCTCGAAGTGCAGGAGTAGGAACGTGGTGGTTTTTATTCAGTTAGAGTCTGACACTCTCCCGCCTCACCCAGGCGGGAGAAGTCATTCGATGATTTTCCCCCCTTAAAAAAACCATCTCTGTTTACCTTTTTGGGGATTAAAGGCAATGTTAGGGAGCTTAAAAGGCGATGTAAGGCGGGCAAGGTGTAAGTTTATAATTATGTTAGTTTATGTATGTCATGGTATGTAGATTTCTAAATTATTATCTTTTATCATAATGTATTAAATAAATAGCGAAAAAAAGAGAAGTTTCTGATAAAATCTTACATCCTTGTTTATAAACTTGATTCGGATATACGTTTTAATTAGACAAAGTTTTAATACCAATTACATTTCGTATAATTAGCAAAAAGTGACTAATGCTAACTGTATATGCTCACACGTTTTTGTAGAAATGACGTAATTTATGCAGTGATAAAATAAAACAAATTAAATATGCGCGCGTACACTAATTAAGGTAGTTTTAATTAAATATATTATTGCGTAATGTTATAAAACACGGCACTCTATAAAATTACACCTTTGGTTCATTATAACATGCAAATTGGTGTTCATAAAGCTACCTGCTTTGTGTCATAAAGTCATGTTTTCTAGGTTATTGTTTTTAATGTTAGTAGAAAAAATAGTTTTAATTACGGGTAGACAAATCTAATGTGGCCTACCGTATTTTTGCTCACTTTGTTTGAACCTCTCGTTCTTCGCCCAATAAGAAATCAGCTAGTGTCACACCATTGTACGTTCATTATTGACAGCTGCTGTGATTTGACGAAAAGATCTAAAATACGGTAGCCCCCATTACATAAAGTCTGTTTTTCTTCGAAGAGGTTAGAAACATGTTTCGCTTTATATTCGACCTCATTAGAAGTAGGGTAATGATTTTCGAGCGAGTTAGCATTAAAGCAGAGTAATGTAGGCAGGTATGTCAAATTCAGTAGGGCTGATGCCCGATACGGAGCCGCAGAAGGCCTAACGGGTTGCCGGGCCTCCAGCTTGAAGTGCAGCAGTCGGGACTGGGTGGTTTCTAGTCAGTAAGAGACTGACAGACTGACCAACCGAAGGCGGGAGAAGTCATTGGATGATTTTCCCCTATAAAAAAATATTTCAAATTCCCTTGGCACCCTTCTAAAGCTCAAATGGCTAATTATAATAAGTTACACAGTCATGGAAAAGCCTAATGCAGAATATTGGACACAATTCTAAAATTTACTATTACTGGGAATTACAGAATAACGGTCTCAATAATATTTTTTACTTTCTAATCGCTCGTCACTACCGCTTGGCACCCGACCAATAAAGGGGTCACACAAATCTAAATCCCTTTTTAATCTTCACCAACAGGATAGGAAAACCTCACAAGAAGCCAGAAACAGAAGTTTACGGCAGATCGCAGCCAGGCAGAGCTTCAGAGAAGTCACTGTCAAGGGAAGCGTTAGAGCGACATAACAGAATAGAAGAGAGGGAGAAAGAAGAAGAACCAACACCCAAACCACAACAGCAGAGGTATGATATTATAATAGCATATGAGCCAATAAGACGTCTATTGCTGTACACAGGCCTCATCATTGACAAGGGACAATGTTTTTCTTACTTTATTTCATGAGGCACTGTTATTTTTGTCTCTGATTTGTATGTTAAGAAGTAAAATGAAATAAATATTATTAATTAGATAATACGGCTTGGATGCAAATACTCACACGCTAGTCAATTTTAATATTTCCAACGAATAGTTCTGTCACTTCAAATTCTTTGTAAAATGAAAGAGACAGCACGATATTTAAGCATTTAAGTACTCGGGCGTGTGTCACGTAACTGATTCGAGTATGCTCGATTAGTTTCAAGTCATGACGGGGGTACAAGTTTATCATAAAGTCAATAGAGTACCGCAGAAAAGTTTGTCTGTCTGTCTAATGCGTAATTCCTTAGTAGGTTTTTACGTCATCCGAAAAGAGTAAGAATGGTGGCAATTAATGTATCCTGCTTGGCCCTACTGTTGTTAATAAAAGCCATTTCTCATTAGATCGGAAGTATCCCACTCGCGCCAAGGCAGTAGTGGTAGCGGCGACCGCGCGCACAAGTCCGAGCGACGCGCGCCGCCGTACAGAGCTCCACCACATCAACAACATTCGGTAAGTCATTTATTTACTCTATATTTATACTTATTTATGATTCTTTATAGGATAGGGCGGTAAACGAGCATACGGATCACCTGATGGTGAGCAATCTGCACCGCCTATATACACCGATAACACCAAACAAACTGATGAAAATGCTTCGCCGGCCTTTTGGGAGCCTTTCACTCATCGAAATACAAGACAGGCGTTGTTTCACGGTGGTTTTCTGTGAGGCCGTGCCGTGGTATCACTCTAGAGAAGGCTCATTTGTGCTGAAGCATGGCTCTCCATGTGAATCTGTTTATTGTGATAATTATGTCATTTTTAAGCAAAGGTTAGTTCGTGATTGTATAGAAGATTTTCATTTGTTGCACAGCAGGGAATGGACAGCGCGTGGGGTCCCACCGGTCACTACGTCAACTATGAAGAAATACAACAGAATTTAAAGTAAGTAAACACAGTGTGATGGTGGATTTCTTTAACATTACTGGTTTTCTAATAACTAAGTGAGAAAATAGGGGAGAAAATAAGTGAGATAATATATTTTATGCATACGAGACATAATTTAGGTATCTATTTCGTGCGAAGGCTTAATACAAATTTTAAATATGAAACTGTCTTTGGTTTTATCAAAGATCTTCTTTCTATTATGTTTTTAAGAGCTTTAAAATATCAAATATCTCCTTAATCGGTATTGCGAAGTAAATAAGGTCGTGATTCGCAAATAAAACCGCACATAATATTACAGCGCGCGTCGCGAGAAGTTGAGCGAGGTGCAGATAGGACAGATGAGGAGACAGGTCAGCGCGCAGAGGGCCAAAGCAGAGGAAGAGAGGTGAATATCATTAAAAATTCATTCTATACAAATAAAAATAGGTCTTAACCTATAAAACTGCTGTTTTTGGCATAAAATGAACGTTTTTGCGCTTACTAGATGGCATTACAATAGTCTAAAGTCCTATTTGTCAGTCCCTGTCAATAATTGGCATTAAAAAAATATGTTTTGAACAAGCAGGACTTGACTCTTTATTATCATTTAGTGAGCACAAAAAATATAGTTCTCATTATAAATTAACAGCAATTTCTTAGATAAAGACCTAAAAGAGTAAATTGAGCGCACGAGCAACTTTTGGTCTCTTTTCTCTCTACCTCTGTCGCCTGTCTGTTTACCATTGATGTTGTAAAACATAAACCATTTGGATATTCCGTATTAAGCCATTAATTTTAGGAGTATTATCGCATAAATCTTGAAGTTTGTTAAGCCGAAAGTTTCTCGTGCGCGTTGTACATTTATTTCCTTTATTTTTATAACAAACTTAATCATTATAAAAGATTTTAACAACCTACGTAAGTCATCTTTACTACGCAGCTCAAAAACACATTACCTAAATAATTTATTAGATAAACGTGACTTAAGAAAGAGTAACAATTAAAACCGGTAGTATAACAACTGATTGACTGTGTGTAGTAATAAAATATGATTGTGTACACGTTTTATTACTTGGAAACAATCTTGATTAGCTACTGGTCTAACCCTTGGTTTATTATACAGTTTATTATTAACTCCGCCTTAGAACTGCATAGTTGCATTCAATACTGAGTCGCTAATTGGAGATAAAAACTTTATTCTAAGTAAATACTTAAATAAATATTAATCTAGCTACAACACACCGGTTCTTTAAACGATTTTATAATTAAATATTCGAGTTATTTGTCGTATGATATTAATTATTTTGTCGTAAATTTTCACTATGCCATTTATTGGACGGACAAGACTCAACTCGTCAAAGGCGCCATCTGGTGTGAGACCTAATCAGTTGTTTTTAAAGACTTACTGTATGACGAAGAGTGTAGTTCTATATTTGTAGGTATTCTATGCAATTGGGTACTTGTTAACTAGTCACATTCAATACTTTTTTCGAACTGTCGAAAACTTTATGAATGTTGTATTGTGACGTCACGTTTTTTTAGCGCCAAACAGCATACTTATTTCTTAAAAAATTGCTGGAAAATATTAAAATTAAGTTGGTCATAAAATCAATTTATGAAAGTGTGACTATTTTTTAATGTTTTATTGTATTGAACAATCGAAGAAATTTATTTTAGATTAAGGCAAGTACTCAATTGAAATAATTATTATGAAAAACAAAATCGATGAAATAAAGTGAAAACAAGAAAATGAGTACCTACGGATTAAAAAAATTCGACATATCGTCCACATGTAGCTAGTCTTTACGTTAAAATTACTTTAACAAACATAATAATTCCGTCTTCTTTTCGCATCCACTATAATTACTTACACAGTTATACAAAGATGTCACTTGATAATAATAATAATTAAAATTATCGTATTTTTCTTCTTGCTCGGGAATTTGCTGGGCGTTGGTAAGATGCTTGTGCTTTGTAAGATCTTTAATTAAAGCTTGGTTCAAGGTAGCGTGCTCATGTGACGATATTCTTCTTAAAAAGAACATAACATTACGCCTTTTATCCCCAAAGGGGTAGGCGTCATTACAGCACTTAATGCCACTGTACAATGTAACACCCACTTTTCATCTATGTTATGTAGGGGGTGAGCCTACTGAGAATTTTTATTTTAACTCGTCGAGTACCGGTTTTATAGACACAATTAAAGAACAATAGGTCGCGGTCACCGGTGACCGCTTGGTGTTTGACAGATTAAAGACCCAGTAATACGTTGCCCTGTTCTCGGCCAACGAGGTGGTCTTAAAAAAAAAAGAAACATAATAATATATTTTAAAATACTTCCACAGGGATTTCTGTCTTATATACAGGAACGTCTTATTTTCAATGAAATGACTACAGTTATAAAACAAGACATTCTTATTATTTTTTGTAAATATAAAAAAATGTAGTTACAAAAATATTTAGCTAAATGTAACTTCCTTCCTAATTATTTTTTAAAACATCATTAAATCAACTTGTTTACTTAGAGTAAAAACAATATTATTACTTTAAAATAATAATTTGAGATGTACCAAATACGAAATAGTACCTTGAGACACTAATGAATACGAATGTTTTTTGTTTCTAGGTTTTTGTCATAAACAACAATTGTACAAAATATTCCGTGTTTTAACATTCAACCGTAATCAGATAAATTCTAAGTATCTTCGTAAGATGTCAAAACACGTGAGCATGTGACCTTGGACTTTAATGCATTAGGATTAAGAACATTTTAGCTAATACCGCTGGCTAAATATTTTCCTAGTAAATAGCTATTTTGCTGAAAAACCTTAATTAGTATAAATATGTTTCTAAATTATCTCCTTACATGTCTTTCTGTTCGTGTTGCTATAATGGTACTTGAATTAATTTGGTCCTTTCATTCGCAATGGTAAAAACTGAGGTCCTTTTTCTATCAATATCGAGTAGGTACCAGTAGCACAAAATTTAAAACCTAAGGCCCCATTGACACACTGTTGCGGAATGCCCTGCGTGGGCTGAGCACCGCCGTGCCCTCAGGGAAGTGATCGGCGATGGAGACCTCTCGCGTCCGGGCCTAGTTCAGGCCATGATGCGGAGCGAGGGGGACTGGGATGCCGTCTCCTCCTTTTGCGAAGCAGTCATGCTGGCTAAGGAGGAGGCGGGACGCGCGAGGCAGCGAAGCGCTGCCTCCTCGCAACCCAGCCATCGCGAAGGACACACCGGGCGTCGGGGATCGCGGGACGATCTCCGGCCACCGTAAGCGCGGGCCTGCGGACGGCGAGCATGGGTGGCTCCCCGTCCGACCAGAAACAGACCCGAGCGTACGGCGCGTCGCGTTCCGCGCGCGCCTCAAAGAGCCATCAGACCACCACAGATGGGGCCCAATAGGGCCGATGCCGATTCGGAGTCGCGGAGAACCTAACGGGTAACCGGGGCTCCGGCTCGACGTGCAGGAGAAGGAACGGGGTGGTTTTTAGTCAGTAAGAGTCTGACACTCCCTTCCGCCTCACCCAGGCGGGAGCAGTCATTCGATGATTTTCCCCCCTTAAAAAAAAAAAAAAAAAAAGGCCCCATTGACACGAGAGTTATTTAACGTTAAAAACACGTAAAAAAGCGTTCACAAAGAACAAATGCATCGGCTAGTGTATAGTGTTCATGCATCCCGCAATTTTAAAACAGTGTATTGCATTGTCAACGCTGGACTTTGGGAGCTAAAGTCTAAATTGCATTACATAGGTACACACCAACGCCGAAATTTAACACCATATTAAAAAAAATCAAACGGGTGCCTACTCTGTGATGAAAAAGGCTCTAAGCTATGTTCAACTATAATTTTATTTCATAGATTGCTTTTGCACATAAATTGAATGACTCACTGGTATTGCATAGCGCAAACTTTAAGTGAATAATCCACGCAATCATTAATCAAGTCAGTTAGCGCTTTTCTTAGTAAAACTGTTACAACATTTAATTACGAAAAAAAATCCCCAAGATAATCTTGCGAGGTTAGTTTAGAAGGAAAATGTAATTTTATTTTTACTATTGCGTTGTGGCACATATTTTTATATCTATTTAAGTTATCTATGACTGCTGTTAGACAATTTTGTTGATTTTATTTTGAACTGAAATCATAGATTGTTTGTTAAGTTGGTAACTTTTGCATTAGTAGAGTCTTAGATAAACCTTAGTTATAGAAAAAATCTAGCGAGCTCTTAATTAACCTGTCAAAAAACCCATACAAAACAAACGTATGACGGTTTTGTTAAATTTTAATGACTGTTTTGCCTAGAAGTGGTATTTCCAAAATTCATAGTTTTAATAAAAACTCGTTAGTTTTGTACGATAGATAACCTTAGCGCAATCATTATTATTGTTGTTGAATTTTAACAATTGTAATTTGAGTTAATGTTTGTTTTTAACACGACAGTCGTCGGGCAGGGGCGGGTGGCTACCACTCACAGCGCTCCTGTAGAGAGGGGGGCGTGCGACCGCAGTCTAACTACTACGAGTACGAGACGGCGCCGCCGCGGAGACCAGGCAAGCTGTCCCACTACCACTGAGCAATGGACATCGAACAACAAAATAATTCCCCTTCGACGCCAGACACCGACGGCCGAGGTATCCGATCTCATTTTAATTGGCGATACTTTTAACGATTATATCGCTTCAGTAGACGTTAATAATGCTATCTGTCGGCTCGATTCCTTATTGATTTAACTTCGAGTGCCTTCACTGAGACTGAGCCACGGTAATTAATTGTTATTCTACACAATTTGCTGTATCGATTACTGGGGCAAGAATACGATGTTAATTGTCGTTAAATGTAAAATAATTGTCTCAAGATGTGAATTATTTACGCCGTCGAAGTCGTTAAAAGTGAATTTGTTTTCAATATGGCTACTTAAACCGTTATTTAGTGCTCTTGATGTAATAAAATGCCAGGGGCTTGTGTAATTTTGTACCTACTGAATGTTATCTTTTCTGTCTACCAGTGATACGTATGTCTAGCGTATATAAATATAAAAGTTTCCAAGTAAAATAAAATTATGTAAAAATATATTATGATTATGTACGTTGTATTTGAAACTAAAGACCCTTATTTCTGTAACTTTTAAACGAAGTAAGTATTTAACACTACAGTCATTAGACAAAGAAAAACTTTTTTATTACAAATAAAATACATAAAAGACATTTTTCTATAATTAAATCTGTCTTTTGTGTTGATAAACCTTCCTCAATTTTTTATTTTCATACAATTTGGAAACTCAAACAACAAAATACTTTAAAAGACGACAAAAATTATTTGTGAACATATTCATTAAAAACTGTTTTATGGAACTTATTTAAAAAAATATAGGTATCATTAAAAATATAGTTAATGAGCTATTATTTCTTAGAGACACGTTAACATAATAGTTTTACAATGAAAAACCTCATAATTTAACACAAAAGAATGTCAAGAAACTAATTATTGTTTACCGTATAATCAGTTTCCTATGTTATATCTCTATAATGCAGTGTAATACTATAGAATCATTTTTAACACAGTACCCACCATTCACTAAAATCATTTTTAACATTGACGAATTATTGTTAAAAAATATTTGTACGTGCTTACTTTGTTAAAAATGGCATATTTTACTTCAGTTATGTAATTTGACATTAACAGCTTATTTATGCGTCCTAATATTCGGAATCTGTTTAATATATGAAGGCTTCACTACAATGAAAAGTTATGAATGTTAAAATTTCTTTTACGTTAAAAAAGGAATGTTAAGCTCAATTTTAAGTTGATACTAAGTATTATGCTCTTCCCTTCCTTCACTTCAAAACAAGTATTGGATTGTTACAAATACTTTAAAAGAGCATCTCTACCTTGAGAGGCGTTTCAAGCATTTGGACACAAGGACCTAAAGAAATTTCGAACATTCATCATTGTACTGGACCCTTCAAATATCGTTGTTTAAAATTTTTTACTGTAAAATCGGCGTTACACTTGGCCTTTTCCTCGAATATTCGACACCACAATATTATAAAGTATAATAATATCCTCATGTATACATTGTTTGCCCTCTACCGTAAAACTGGTCGTTTAACGCGGGGTCTCTTGGTTATCCTACCTCCAAAACTAAGTTTAAGCGTGGAGTAGCAAGTTGTTCACTTGTTCTGAAGTACTCTTAATCCCAGTTCTCAAGTTCTGATTGTTCTCACTCGCCTGTGACTGAGATAATCCCTTGTTTGTTATCTTATCTAATGCCTTTGAACATTAGTTGATTTACGAAACTTGATCCTGAATTATTATTGTTGGAATATTTTTACGTCACACGTCACAAGTTTTATTCGAACTAGTTTCAAGAACTGAGGGCTTAGTACAGTTCACGTTTATCGAGATCGAAACGTTGACGACGTACAGCGCTCTGATTGGCCAGCTTCAATGAACCAACCAATCAGATGGCTTTAAGCGGTAACGTTTCGATCTCTTTAAATGTAGAACTGAGTGCCAAGCACGAATAATTATCGCATTCGTATCGTAACAGTATCGAGCGGGTTCAGCGTTCTGATTGGTTGGTTTACTAGAGCCGGCCAATCAAAGCACCGAACGCGCTCGATACTATTAAGTTACGAATGCGATAGTTATTCGTGCTTGGCACTCTGGTACTAAACCCTCTGCTGTCATATGTCTGTAGTCGAAATTAATGCAATAAGTAAAATTGTTTCAACAATATTTGTCCTAAGTTAACTTCTTGAATGTACGAGGAATGCATTGTGTAGTGGCCGTCCTTTAATACTACATAAAGGATCATTATTTATGTCTATGTGGAGGAGCCTTATTTATATACTTTGTCTATGTATATAGATGGTGGTGCCATCATTACTTAGTTATAATCTCGTCTGATATCGCGCTATAAGTACTTATTTGTGCTATCGTAAATTAGATAGATTTCTACACCGTATATGAAATGATTCGAGTGTATTATAAATGAAATTACATAAATATTATATTAAAGATGTTGTGTGATGGTCTGTCCGTATAGAGATACTTTGATGATATTTGGTAACTTTGCTAAAAATCCCAAGCAGCGGCACCAAACAATACAATGGTTGCTTCATTATTTAATTAAGCCTACTATCAATTTCGAGGTACTTCTATACGAACAGACTGCGTGATAATTAAAACAGGGGAGACTTGTGAAATTCCCAAATAAAATGTGTCCTTAAGTGCGCAGGAATTCGTTTGTGTCGTACCTAAATCTCCCGACGTCGTCTTATTTACGGACGTTTGTCGCAAGCTACATAGGTACATGTACATTCCTACTTAACTTCTAGTAAGATTATGAAAGAAGCTTTAAAGTGTAGATTAGATTTATAATTAAGTTAAATCTGATAACATTTACGTGTGACTGAATAATTTATATCACTTTTGAAGAATTATAACTATTCGTTAACTGTAATATTGTAAAGTTAAGCGACTACGTTTTCATCGTTTTCAATGCAACAATTTATTGTATTCTGACTGTATTAACTCTTTATTTTATATTTGTCTTTAATATTTCCATGTTTTTGTGATATCTAATCGGTATTTAGTGCTAGCCCGGCTATGGGCTCTCGTGGTGATATGAACATGATCGCTAGTTACATAATTAAATTAGTAGACATTTGTACTGTATATATAAAATCTAGGTGTTCTACGAGATTAATTTTGTATAGATAGAGAGAAGTAGCTTTTATATTTCATAAATCATGACTTATTTTAGTTTAACGAACAAGTTGTTTAGATTTAAGTCACATTGCAAATGTTTATTTGCACCGAAGTGCCCATATATGTACATACTTAGACGTTTATATTACAACGTCAATATAATAATTTATTCTTCTCTTTGATTCGAGTGTCAAACAGAAGAGTAAGTTATAATGAAATACTTAAATACAATTGGACATTCAATGTATGTAAAATAAATGAAAAGTGGAAATTGTTTGGTTTTATTTCAATATCCTTTTGACAAAAACAAATCAGTCATCGCGGACATGACGAGTAGTCGAAAAAACTAGCATTTTCGAACAATGCTAAGATCTAATGCAAATATTGACATACCCCTTTTAACTTCATACAACTTTATGCACTCAAGGCCCGGCGACCGCTGTACGATTTGAACTTATGACCTTTCTATTACCAGCCAATAACACGGTCGTTTAACAGGTTATTGTCACTTGAACATAGGCTAACCAGTTAGGAAATCGATATCTTCGACCAAATACTATACGCACGCCACGAGCAAATTTTCTATATACCATCGTGTTATTTGAATTCATGTTTCTATATCTATAAGCTTCACCAGCGAGTCTGTCAAGCGTGAAGGGTTTGTACGGTACAATTTTCATTCGCTCAATTTGTGTCCACACGCATTTGCAAGTGAAATCACTTGTCATGTCATATAATCCAAGATCATTACTTGGGAGTAGCGTGCAGCGTTTATCTCGAGCTCGTTAGGAAGGGCAAGGCCGTGGTTTGCGTGTCCGACACACTTTATAGGATTGTTTGTGTGGTCGCCCTTTGTCGTGGCCTTGTGGTATTCCTACCCCGTGCCCCATTGACCTCGGTAAAATGGTTTTCTGAACTATTTAACAACGTCATTCGCCTTCGCCTTTCGTTCCCAAGGGGTTAGACAAAGGTGCAGTAAATATAACACTCGCTATAATATACACCTATGCTATATAGGTGAAGAGATGAAGATATGTTCGTGTCTCGTCGGTGTGTACATACACCCAACCTCGCATACACATTATACACAGATCCGGAATAAAAATTTCGTGAGGGAATCAAATCCGCGACTCTTTGCAGAAGCTACATCTACATAGACCTGGAATAAAAATTCCGTCCGTGGATCGAAACTGCGACACGTTGTTCATCTACAGCTGCACTGACTAACTCAGAATAAGTACTTTGTATGTGGATCAAACCCGCGACAGGTTACACAGCTACAGTTGCAGAGACCTTGAATAAAAATCCCGTCTGGGAATCGAACCCGTGACACGTTGCTCAGCAGCAGAGCCCGCGGATGACATCATCACTCAAAGGGATGACAAAGTATTACATCATCAATGCCGTCATAATTTTAATTATAACTGGTGAGTTAACCCCCTATATTTTACATACAATTACATATTATAAGGTAATACATTACTTACTCCTGGGTTCCTCTCCCACTTTCTGGTACATGGTGAAGTCATTCTGCTGGAAATCCAATTATAATTAAACTACAGTGCGAATGTGTAGTTAAAACTGCAGTTTTCCTATCGACTATCGTGAGATGAGTCGCTACACACCTGTTTTTTATCATTATGCCCGCTGGCATATGTCTCGATTTTAATTCTAAGATTTTGTATTGCGTTTAGTTAAGTTCCTTCGAAAGTCGAAAGAGCAAAGTATCAAACGTATCATATTATCGACGTATTGATATCCAACTTCTATTTACCCATGGTCGAATAATAATTTTATGAAGTCAGAAGCAATTTCAGCTGGATTCTCATGTGTAAGTCATTCCATAAAAAAACTAGCGGT